CTTATCTTCGATCTCCTGTTGAGTTCGTAGGTGTTCAGAATGGTTTGATCCCTATTCAGCTGAATTCCTGAGACCAGTCGAAATCCAGGTCTCCTACTCCTCCGCCATCTTGCTCCCCCCAGCTCTGCATCATTTATTTCTGCTCTCATCTTGTTTCCATCCTTCTGCTGGTTTTAAGTTTTATTTGTTGTTCTTTTTGTAGCCCCTTTAGGTATAAGATTAGGTTATTTGTAACTGGCCTTTTTCCTTTGGCGTACTTTTTTCAAGGTTCATCCATACTTTAACATGTATCAGTACTTCCTTTTGATGATTGAGCAATATTCCATTGTATGGATATACCAGATTTTATTTACTCATTGCTCAGAATGAACATTCCTTCGGGGACGTTTGGGTTGTTTGGGCTTTTTGACTCTTATGAATAGTACTGTTATGAACTTTGTGTACAAGTTTTTATGTGGATACATGTCTTCATTTTGGGGGACATATACATAAGAGTGGAATTAATGGGTCATACTGTAATTCTATGTTTAAACTTTTGAGGAACTGCTACTATTTTCCAAAGTAGCTGCACCATTTTATATTCCCACCAGCAGTACATAAGTGTTCCAGTTTTCCCACATCTTTGCCAACACTTGTTACTATCTTTCTTTATCATTATTACAGCCACTGTCCTAGTGGGTATGAAGTAGTACCTCACTGTAGTTTTGATGTGCATCTCCTTGATGATTAATGATGATGAACATCTTCTTATGTGCTTATTGACCATTTGTATATCTTCTTTGGAAAAATGACTACTTAGAAACTTTGCTCATATTTAAGTTGTGTTGTCTTTTTATTATATTGCAAGAGTTGTTTATATATTCTGGATGCAAGTCCCTCATCAGAAATATGATTGGTAAAAATTTTCCACCAAACATTTTTTAAACTTCCTAACTAATACTATTTTTGAAGATGAGTGGTCAATTAAATCTGACGTGACACCACTCAACCACTAAAAGTGATGTGATAGCATTCATTGCCACATTTTGTTATATGATTAAGTGAAAGAAGCAGGTTCTCAAACATTATGATCCATTTAAAAAAATATTCATAGAAAATCATCTGAAAGTGTATATATCAAGGTGTACAGTACTCATCTTTGGTTGTTGCAATTATATATAAATACATATATATATTTCTGTATCTTTTTTTTAATGATGAATATGTATTATTCCTATAATAAATTATTCTCAAATTCTTTAAAGGCTCAGCTGGCACATGAGTTTGACTGATTATGCTTATTATTTGGACTTTCCAAAATCTTATGTGGTGAGTGTGAAACCACAGTGGAGCCCATTTTAAAAGAAGAACCCAACCTGAGGGTGTAGCGCTCAGTTCCATGTAGACTAGTGGTTGGGAGGGGAAGGGGTAAAAGGTATGATGACGTATAGGCACTTAATACCAATCTGTATGACTTGCCTCAGTTTGCAAATCATTTCAGACATCTTCCTTGGTTCTACATCAACTGTATTGGACACCAAGGGTCAGAGACATTATGCTTTTGCCCAAGGTTGTGCAGTCTTGTCTGTAAGGACGCTCCAACTACAGTTTGGGGGGGGCATCTGGGTAGCTCAGTTGGTTGAACATCCGACTCATGAGATCGAGCCCTGCATCAGCCTCCACACTGGGCATGCAGCCTGCTAGAATTTTCTCTCTGTGGCTTGCACTCTCTCTCTCTCTCCTAAAAACAAAAAAACCTACAGTTTGGGTTTTCTACTCCTGCTGCAGTACTTGTAACTGATGGTCCTGCCTCTCATCCTGGGTTCTTCTTTTTATAAAATTGTCTCCAAGGGTCAGGTATCTGAAGGATGACTTTCTGATAGCTGAAAAAGTGTGTCAACCTGGAGCAATATGCCATGCTTTTGGCTAAGAGTAGGTAAATGGCTACAAGTTGTCCCTGTTTTTCACCATTACAAACTCTCAAATGCTTTTCTTTCATGCTCTATCTCAGGAAAGGAACAATTGTTATTATATGAATTAACTTATGTCTTGTTATTGTTTACTTTTTTCATTTATAAGCTTGATTACTAAGCTTTGAATATTGCTTTCTTTTAAAGCTCTTCCTCAAATGAAGTCATCTTGACATTTGTATTTGCTTTATTACCCTTCTATGATTTTTACAGCGGCCTTGCAAACAAAAGACCTGTTATTTCCTTGGCACAGGCTTCATCATTTATGTACACGAGAAAGGAAGATGATTTTTTTTCCTTTGCTCAAATATTTGTGGCATTGTTGGAGTTCTCTAGGCTAAATTAGACAGAAAAAAATCTGAAGTCATTTTGAAAGTATGTAGCTTTCTCTAGATTCTAGACCAGAGGTTAGCAAACTTCTGTAAAGGCCCAGACAGTAAATATTTCAGACTTTGTAGGTGTCTTGCAACTACTCAACTCTGCCATTGTGCAAAAGCAGCCAGAGACAATTCGTAAACAAGTGGGCGTGGCTGTGTGCTAATAAAACTTTATTTGCAAAAATAGACAGTGAGCATATTTGGCATACAGGCCATGGTTTGCTGACTCCTGTTTTCAATTGTTCTGAAACATTTGTCTACCAGGAATCTAATTTTTGCCTGAGTGATTTGTTATCAGCCATATGTTTCAAAGCCTCTATCACCCCAAGATGCTAGTGGATTTTCTCTTCAAAAATAAAATATGATACTTACAAAGCTAATTATTACTCACAACATCCAAAGCTCAGTAAGAATCAGAAAGCAAGGCCGGTATTACTCAGTCACCTATTTATCTCTTCCTTTCTAAGATGAAGAGTTGCTGCAAGCTGCAACCTGGACCCTATTTGGTCCAGGAACATATCCCTGACCGCTGCCCATGTTTTAAACCTCTTTCCAATTGGAGAAGGTATCCCAGTTCATAAGCTGTCCAGTCAGGATTTTATTTCACTGTGGCCATCTGAACCACAGATCTGAAGAGCATCTTTACTTCTATCAATCAATTCCTTTGAAATTTATTAGAGAACAAAAATGGTTGTGAAAAAATTCCAGTGACTGAGTTGCAAATGAGACCTCTTTTTTTGTGGTTTCCTAGTTACTTTCTCACATTATGTCTCTGTTTACTGATGTGCAGATGGGAATTATAAGACCTTTTTGTAGTAAAAATTCTAGAGTAAAGGGTAACAATAGAAAGGGTTGGTAACCTTTCATGATGAATTTTATATATAAAGTTTTTCCATGCAAGAAAATGTTTCTATTTCTTAACAAATATTTTAGAGAAGATTGTTTTTAAATGTCTGCTGTTATGTTTTCTGAATAAAATAAAGCGATATATTTTTTAATGTGACAGCATTTTATCCTGAAAAGCGACAAGAACCTTTCCCCCGCCACCTTAACTTACAATTTTTAAATTAACATTTTTCTGATGTCAAAGTAATATAATTTTATAGAAAAAAATGGGAAATTTAGAAAGCATAAATAAGAAAAAATCACAACCAACCCCTAAAGATAACTATTGCTCACATTTTACTGTTCATTTAGATAGCTCTTGATGCATATGTGTATATATAGATTAAATGTAACATTTTCACCAGCATGAGATACTATACAAAGCATTTTTGTATTCTGCCTTTTATACTTCTATGTTGGTAAATCTGGATCAACATTAACTTTAAGGGCTATGTGGCATTCCACAGTATAGATGTACTTACTGTAATCTGCTTGATGATCTCCTATTTGTGTATTTTAAGTGCTTTGTACTTTTCCACTATTACAGAGAGTGCTTAGGTAAACATTCTTGTACATATCTTCTTGTCCTGCCAGAGTATTTCTTTATGATAAACTAATAAAGTGCCACTAGCAGAAATATGTGTGTACTTATGTATGTATAATTTTGATATAGAAAAGTTTATGCTCAAATTATATTCTAATAGTTCATGAGAGTGCTTTATACCCTCACCAATACTGGGAAATTTCTATAATTTCTCAACAGATCAGTGATCAGCATCTCGGCATCCTGTGTGGTTGCTATTATTGTTTGTTAAAGTATTTCATGTTCTTTAAACCAATACCTACGTAGCACTTACTATGTGTCAGAGACTGTTCTAGGTGTTTTGATGAGTATTAACTAATTTAATCTTCATTGTAACCCAGTAAAGTAGGCACTGTTATTATTCTTAACTTAGAGATGAGAAAGCTGTGAAGCAACTGGAAATTCACACATCTGGTAGCTAGTGGAGCCAGGATTCAAAACTTCCTCGTTATTCTAAAGTCTATCCACTTGATCATCATGCCCTGCTGCCTCTTCGGAGGAAACAAAAACCTAGCTGGCTAGGAAGTGAACCTGGACAACAGGGGTCAGAGAGCCAAATCCTAACCACCAGACCTATATATTTTCCCACCTATATGTTTTCTAATTATTTAAGAAATAATCTCTTTGATTTTTTTTTTTTTTTTTTAGGATATATCAAAGTCAGAAGAAACCAAAAGAAGCTCTGCCCCACTACCAAGAGGCTTTAGAATATATTGAGATCAGTAGAGGTGAAAAAAGTCTTGAGTGTGTACCAATATTGAGGGAATTAGCAGGTGTTGAGCAAGCCCTGGGACTTCATGACGCATCTATCAACCATTTTCTACAGGTAAGCTGCAATATGCTGGCCCCCAAAGCTCTTCTGGACCCAATGCTTTTCATAGATACAAGTGGAATAGCAGCTCTGAGAATGCCTGGTTTTGTTATTTGCTCTGGATAAGAACACTTGGCCGGAAAAAAACAAAAAAAAAAAAGAACACTTGGCCGGGAGTAGATGTTCAATAAACATCTTCCTATAGATGTCCGAATGGGATAAGGGTCCTCTGTTACCAGGTGCATGTCCTCAGATAGCCCGAGACTCCCTGAAGACAGCTTTTCTCATATTAGTGGCATGATTCAAGTCTTATTTTCTGAAGTTCTTTATCAGTTCATGTTTATCCATTTAGAGCTTATGTTATCAAACTGATTAGGTTTCTTTTCTACTATACTCTAAAATCTTCACTTGAAGCCACTTGGAGTTGTCAGTTATTAGCTGCTGATCTACTTTATCATCCTAGGAGTCCTCTGTGGGTGTGTCAGTCAGGGTTCTCCAGAGAGACAGAAGCAATAGGATATATAGAGAGAAAGAGAGAGAGGGATTGATTTTAGGGAATTGGCTGACACAGCTATGGAGGCGCACAAGTCTGAAATCCATAGGGTAGGCAGGCCAGCTGAAAACTCAGGCAGGATCTCTGTGTTACGGTCTGGAGACAGAATTCCTTCTTCTCCAGGAAACCTCGGCTTTTTGCTCTTTTAGGCCTTCCACTGATTGGCTAAGGCCCACCCACATCACTGAGGGCGGTCTCCTTTACTCCAAGTCTGATTGTAAATGTTAATCACATCTACAAAATACATTCACAGAAACATCTAAACTAGTGTTTGACCTAAAAACCGGGCACCATGGCCTCGCCAAGATGACACATAAAATTAACCATCACGGTGAGTTTGATGTTTTGTATTGCAGCATTTGCTAAGAGCACATTTTAAATTGTTTTGTCTGAATTTTTCCCTGTTAAAACTGTAAAATATAGATTGAACTCATTCTTGTTATTTCAAATGAGATGAAATGACATGGGACTAAGAGTTCTGGATTGCTCCTTCTTTTTTTTTTTTTTAAGATTTTATTTATTTATTTGACAGAGACATAGCGAGAGAGGGAACACAAGAAGGGGGAGCGGGAGAGGGAGAAGCAGGCTTCCCGCTGAACAGGGAGCCCAAGGCAGGGCTTGATCCTAGGACCTTGGGACCATGACCTGAGCCAAAGGGAGACGCTTAACGACTGAGCCACCCAGGCGCCCCCGGATTGCTCTTTCTTTTTAAAATTGTCGGACCGTGTATACGCCCATGCATAGTTTTTAGAATGTCCCATTCTGTCACTCTATCTGGATTATCTCTCTTAATTACTATCACCCCCTGTGACATAGTATTATGTCCAGTTTATAGATAAGGAAGTCAAGAATTAGAAAGGTTGAGTGATATGCCCAGGAGTACCATCAATGCCAATAAATGGCATAGACCAGATTCAAACCCAGTTGTTTTTAGAAAGATTTTTCTAACTGCTTTGTAAGAGAATGGACCAGGGAAAATGTGCCAACGGTGGAAGTAGGGAGACCAGTTAGGAGACTACTGAAATAGCAAAGGCTAAAGGTGATGGTGCCTTGGACAAGGATGATGATAGTAAGGATGAAGCAAAGCAGGTGGGTAGAATTGATGAGGTATGGAGATAGATTGGATGTGGGGAAAAGAGGGAATGGGGAAGAATCAGTGATGACTCCTGGGTTTCTGGTCTGAACAACTGCATGGATGTTTGTGCCAGGTACAGTGGTGGTTGGGGAGCAGGTGTTGACGGGTGATGGAGAGCTGGTGAGCTCAGGTTTCGATGGCGGCTCTGAGATGCCCATACAGGTGGAAATGTCAGTTAGATAATCAGGACTAGAGCTCAGAAAAAGGTCAGGAAGTCATCTACTTACACGCAGTGGTCGCCTTGGGAGAGGATGAGATCACCAGGGGGTTTATTGAGTCAGAAGAGAAAAGGACATGACAGAGCCTTAAGTAACTTCAGTGTTCATTGGTCAAGTCAAGAAGGGTAACCTGGCAAAGAAAGCAGAGAAGAATTTGGCAGAAAAACATGAGTAAAAGTGAAAGTGGTATCTTCTGTGTCTTTTGATACCTTTTGCTGTTATGAAGGACACAGAGCTGTTGGGAGAATAAATGAATGAATATTCATAAAGTGCTTAGCACAGTGCCTGTTACATAGTGCTACACAGAATTTTAAAAATTCCCCTCTTTCCTTTCCTTTTTCTTTTTCTTTCCTTGATGACTTGGTCAAGGGAAACACTGGGGCAGTGAAGAGGCAGAAACCAGATTGTGTGGTGAGTGAGATGTGAGAAAGCAAAGGTCATAAACATAGGTACCTATTTTTTTAAATTTTTTAATTTAAATTCAATTTTTAACACATAGTATATTATTAGTTTCTGGGGTAGAATTTAGTGATTCATCAGTTGCATGTAACACCCAGTACTCATTACATCACATGTCCTCCTTAATGCCCATCACCCAGTTACCCCAGCCCCCCAGCCACCTCCCCTCCATCAACCCTCAGTTTGTTTCCTAGAGTTCAGAGTCTCTTATGGTTTGTCTCCCTTTCTGTTTTTATCTTATTTTATTTTTTCTTCCCTTCCTCTATGTTCATCTGTTTTGTTTCTTAAATTCCACATATCAGTGAAATCATATGGTATTTGTCTTTCTCTGAATGACTTATTTCACTTAGCCTAATACCCTCTAGTTCCATCCATATCGTTGCAAATGGCAAGATTTCATGCTTTTTGGTGGCTGAGTAATATTCCATTGTATAAATACCCTACATCTTCTTTATCCATTCATCTGTCGATGGACATCTGGTCTCTGTCCATGGTTTGGCTATTGTGGACATTGCTGCTGTAAACATCGAGGTGCAGGTACCCCTTTGAATCACTATTTTTGTATCCTTTGGATAAATACCTAGTAGTGCAATTGCTGGGTTATAGGGTAGCTCTATTTTTAACTTTGAGGAAACCCCATAGTGTTTTCCAGAGTGGCTGCACCAGTTTCCAACACCACCAACAGTGTTAAGAGGGTTCCCCTTTCTCCACATCCTCAGCAACATCTGTTGTTTCCTGAGTTGTTAATTATAGATACCTATTTCACAAAGTACTAAGAGGTGAGGAAGACCAGCCCAGGCAGAGGGAAGAGCATGTGCAAAAGTCTGAAAGTGAGATGTAGCTCGACTTCAGGGAACCGAACCAAGTTCCCTCTGCCTGGGCAGTGGGGATGGTGAAGGTGGTAGTTCGGTATCATTCAAGTAGGGTTTTGAAAGTCATGCTAAGGAATTCGAGCTTCATCCTAAGGGGAGTTAAGGGTTTTCAAGCAAGGAGACTGACATCATGAGATTATCAGTCTAGAAGGGTCGCTCCGCAGTATGGAGAATGGACTGGATGACAGAGAAATAATCAGGGAGGTATCAGGAGACGGCCGCAGCAGACCAGGTAGGGGATGATGACACTTGGACTCAGGTGTTGTCATGGGGATAAAGAACGTGGAAAGACTTGAGAGATGCATAGAGAGTAGAAACAGTGGGTTTAGGAGTTGGGGGAGTGAAGGAGGCGGAGGAGTCCGGCACTGGGCATCTGATATTCCCACCAGCAATGCCTTAGAGTTCTACCTTTTTCACAACCTCACCAATACGCATTAGTATCTGTCCTTTTTATTTCAACCATCCTAGTGAATGTGGAGTGGTATTCCACTATGCTTTTGATTTGAATTTCTCTATTGACTCATGATGTTCTGCCTCTGTGTATATGCATGTGACCATGTGTCCATCTTTGGAGAAATGTCTATCCAAATCCTTTGCCCATTTTTTAAATAGGGTTGTCTTTTTATTGTTGACTTACAAGAGTCCTTCATATAGGATATTAGATACTAGACCCTTATCAGATACATGATGTGCAAATATTTTCTCCCATCCTGTGGGTTGTCTTCTCACTTTCTTGATCGCATCCTCTGAAGCACAAAAGTTTTTTTTTTTAAATTGAAGTCAAATTTATCCTTTTTTCTTTTGTTGCTTGTGCTTTCAGCCTCATGTCTAAGAAACCATCGCTTAATCCAAGTTCATGAAGGCTTGTATCTGTTTCCCTCTAAGAGTTTTATAGTTTCCGTTTTTACATTTAAGTCTTGGATCCATTTTGAGTTAATTTTTTATAGGATATAATGTAGGGCTCCCACTTCATTCTTTTGCATGTGAATATCCAGTTGTTCCAGAATAATTTATTAAAAGGGCTATCTTTTCACCACTGAATTACCTTGGGACTTGTGTCAAAACCAATTGACCATAAATGTAAGGGTTTACTTTTGGACTTTTGATTCTATTCCATTGATCCATACGTCTATCCTTATGCCAGCACCACACTCTCAATTAATGTTATTTTGTGGTAAGTTTATGGATATTATAAATAATGCTACTATGAACATTCATGTACAAGTTTTATGGTAAGTTTTGAAATCCGTAAGTATGACATCTCCAATTTCTTTATTCTTTTTTAAGATTGTTTTGGCTATTCTGGCTTCCTTACATTTTTATATGAATTTAAGGTTAAGCTTATCAATTTCTGGGGAAAAAAAACAATGAGTCTCTATTTCAACTGGAAAGTATTGATATCATCACAATATTAAGGCTTTCAATACATGAACATAAGATATCTTTATTTATTTAGTTCTTCCCTAGTTTCTTTCAACTATGTTTTATAGTATAAGTTTTATACTCCTTTTGGGAGATTTATTCCCAGGTATTTTTTTCTTTTGATGCTCTTAGAAACAAAAGTGTTTTTTTTTTTTCTCTTAATTTCTTCTCCCTACTGTTCATTTCTAGTGTGTAGAAATACAAATGGTTGCATGCTGCAACCCTGCTGAACTCATTCATTAGCTCTAATATCTTTTTTTGTAGATTCATAATGCTTTTTTGCCATGCAAAATCTTTCACATTTTCAACATTCCTTTCACTACGTTTGGATTTTGAATCTTTTATAAGGATTTCTC